AGACTCCAAGTTAACAATCTCCAATCAGCCACAGTGAGAAACAAATTCCAGGCTAATCTTCATACTAGGCTTGAAAACCATTCCATAGATTCTACAGATACCTCTCTTGTAACACTCTGGCACCATATTAAAAACGGCATCCTGCAGTCCTCTGAAGAAACCCTAGGGTTCTCCCTCAAGAAGAACAAGGACTGGTTCGATGAAAACAATCAAGAGATCCAGGAATTGTTGAGGAAGAAGAGAAACGTCCACCAAGCACACCTTGCACTGCCATCCTGTTGTGTAAGAAAAACAGCCTTTTGTCTTGCATGCAGCAAGCTCCAACAGAAACTCCATGACATCCAGAACAATTGGTGGATCAGTCTAGCTGAAAAAACACAATTATGCGCAGACACGGGTGATCACAGAGGATTCTGAGGCCCTGAAAACAGCATACGGGCCTACATACCAAGCTCAAAGTCCTCTACTCAGCGCTGATGGTCAAACACTTCTGACAGATAAAACTTCTATTCTGAATCGATGGTCTGAACACTTTCAGATCCTTTTCAGTACTAGCCATGTAGTCCAAGACACAGCCATTCAGTCCATCACATAACAACCAGTGAAGTATGAAGTGGATACTGCCCCCACTTTAGGAGAAACCCTTAAGGCCATACATCAGGTGAAAATCAGCAAGGCAGCTGGGGTTGATGGAATTCCACCTGAAGTCTGGAAACATGGGGGCCTTGCACTCCATGCTAAATTTCACGAGTTCGTACTACGCTGTTGGGAACTAGGAGAACTACCATCAGACCTTTGAGATGCAGTCATTGTCACCCTATACAGAAAGAAAGGAATTAAATCAGACTGTTCAAATTACCGTGGTATTACTCTGCTCTCCATTGCTGGCAAAATCCTGGCAAGAATACTCTTGAACAGACTAATACCCGCTATAGCAGAAGGAATTCTACCTGAAAGTCAATGTGGTTTCAGAGCCAACAGGAGCACCACAGACATGGTATTTGTTCTCAGACAACTGCAAGAGAAGTGTAGGGAACAGAACAAAGGTCTCTATGTAACCTTTGTTGACCTCAACAAGGCTTTCAATACTGTGAGCAGGAAAGGTCTATGGCAGATTTTGGAACGTTTAGGTTGTCCCCCCAAGTTCCTCAAAATGATCATCTCACTCCATGAGGATCAATGGCCAAGTCAGACATGGTAATGCACTTTCTGAGCCCTTTCTGATAACTAATGGTGTGAAACAAGGTTGCATTCTCACACCAACTCTATTCACACTCTTTTTCAGCATGATGCTCCAAAGGGCCACGGCAGACCTCGATGATCAGGACGGTATCTACATTCGACACCATACTGATGGAAGCCTATTCAATCTAAGGTGACTGAAGGCCCACACTAAGACCTTAAACCATCTTGTTTGGGAGCTGCTTTATGCTGATGACGCCGCTCTTGTCGCCCACACAGAAGCAGCTCTGCAGCGTTTAACATCCTGCTTTGCAGATGCTGCTGAGCTCTTTGGGTTGGAAGTCAGCTTAAAGAAGACAGAAGTTCTCTATCAACCGGCACCTCAGGAAGTCTTCCATCATCCCCACATCACCATTGGTGAATCAGTGCTCAAATCAGTCCAGTAGTTTAATTACCTAGGTAGCCTCATCTCCTCAGATGGTAAGATTGACAGAGAGATAGACAACAGGTTAGCAAAGGCATATAGTGCTTTCAGAAAGCT